AGTTTGGAAGTCCTGAGCGGTACCACAAGGCAGCTGGCAGCCGGCTCACCTTGTCCCTGGTTAGAGGAGCCATCCCTGAGGCACCACCCCTGCCCCTGTGCTGCCTTCCCTCCCTGCATCACACTGCTCCCTGTGGATCCCTTTAATCACCCTCTGTTTCCTACAAAGCCACAGCCCCACTGAATCTCTCTTCAACACAGCCCTTCATCCAGCCCATTCCCTATAGAAACTTATTCCATCCATCCCTGGCATGACTTTCCATCCCCTGCAGAGCCACAGTAGATTCTTCCTCTACACAGCCCTGAATTCTCTATGTAGCACCATACTTCATCAAGCCCCTGTGTTGCCCTCCATCCCCTATAGACATACCTGTTCCATGTCCTACACTCCATGCAGTGCACTATGCCTCATCCTGGAGTCTTCTTCTTTCCTACAGAGCATGCAGAGCTTGTCCTGACCCTTAGAGCCCATCCTGCACCATCCCTGAACGCCTTGGATGTCCCTGCCCTGCTCCATTGGTGGGGTCCTCTCCCTAAACCCCATATTCCCACAGCGTGGCTCCAGCTATGGCTCCCTGATGACCACCCATGGCAAGTACCAGATCTTCGCCAACACCGGCCACTTCAAGGTCAGTGCACCAGGCAGGGAGCTGAATCCTACCCATGAAATGCCCCAGCTCTGTTGTGCTCCCACTTGGCTGCACCCCCATCATGCAGGATGCTGGCACTTTCCTTCCCTTTGCATATTCATCCAGTGGACATTGACCTTTTTCCCTTCCCAAACACCCCAGGGCAATGTTGTGGCCATTAAGCACATCAACAAGAAGCGAATTGAGCTGACACGGCAGGTGCTTTTCGAGCTAAAGCATGTAGGTTTGGGGTCTGAGCTAGGGTGGGCAACCTGCTTGGGAGTGCAGGGATTGATCCTGAGCATGTGGGAGGGTAGCAGGAGCACCCTCCTAGCAGCTCATGCTCTTTGACCCCAAAACTGTCTTGGATTCGCTTCCACCTGCAGATGCGAGATATCCAGTTCAACCACCTGACCCGCTTCATCGGGGCATGCATTGACCCCCCCAACATCTGCATCATCACTGAGTACTGCCCACGGGGCAGCTTGCAGGTAGCGGGGCTTGGGGACACTGCAGGTGACATTTAGACATTCCTGGTGACCCAGCTGGGCTCCGTGTTGTGGACAGGGCTGTGGATGCTGGTGGCCACCTGAGCCCTAGCAATAATGCTCAGAGCTGAGCTGTCCAAGCAGGTGTCAGAAGCCAGTGGAGGGGTGGGGGTGGGTGTTGCAGACGCCCTGAGCTGGGCACTTGGTGAGGCTGGCCATCACCATGACCTGGGTGCTTGGTGGGGTCCACTCAATGTGCTACCGCAGGATGTCCTGGAGAATGAGAGTATCAACCTGGACTGGATGTTTCGCTACTCCCTCATCAATGACATTGTCAAGGTATCCAGCTGAGAGGTGTGAGGGGATGGGGAGAGGTGCCTGAAAGATACGAGTTTCACTGTGTCCATCTGTCGCAGGGAATGGCCTTCCTGCACAACAGCATCATTGGCCATCACGGCAGCCTCAAGTCATCCAACTGCGTGGTGGACAGCCGCTTTGTGCTGAAGATCACCGACTATGGCCTGGCCAGCTTCCGCTCGCCAAGCGACAATGAGGACACGCATGCACTCTATGCCAGTGAGTGCCTACCTGGGAGGACCAGAAGGATGTTGTGGCCCTGTCTCACAGTTCCATTTCTTTGTCCCACCAGAGAAGCTGTGGACAGCACCAGAGCTGCTGCAAAAGGGACACCTGCCCACCCCGGGCATGCAGAAAGCTGATGTCTACAGCTTTGGCATCATCGTGCAGGAGGTTGCTTTGCGCAATGGTCCCTTCTACATCGAGGGCATGGACTTAAGCCCCAAAGGTGAGGATGGAGAGCACGTGTGTGGAGGTCCTTCCCCACCATGGAAGTCTGGTGCTCACTGTTGGCCACACCCTGGCAGAGATTGTGCAGAAGGTGCGTAACAGCCAGAAGCCCTTCTTCCGCCCCTCCATCGACATCGGGGTGCACAGCGAGGAGCTGGCAGTGCTAATGGAACGCTGCTGGGCGCAGGAGCCAGCTGAGCGCCCTGACTTCAGTCAGATCAAGATCTTCATCCGTAGATTCAACAAGTGGGTGGTTGGCATGCAGGGACAGTGGCCCTGGGTGGGAGTGGGGACAGCCATGGGGGTGGTGGTGGGGGTCACCTCTTCCTGCAGTGCCAACTTACTGCACCCTGGCAGGGAGGGAAGCACCAGCATCCTGGACAACCTGCTGTCGCGCATGGAACAGTATGCCAACAACCTGGAGAAGCTGGTGGAAGAGAGGACACAGGCCTACCTAGAGGAGAAGCGCAAGGCAGAGAACCTCCTCTACCAGATTCTGCCCCAGTGAGATGGGGACACAAGGGAGTGTGTGGGTCTGAGGGTTGGCATGGGTTCAGCTTGTACCTACTGCTATGCAAGTATGGGGTCCCTTGCCAGCTTTCTGTGCTGGTGTGAGGCAAAGGTTCCAGGGGGAACAGTGGGTTTGGGGTGGAGCTCACCACTATCCTTGCCAGTTCCGTGGCAGAGCAGCTGAAGCGTGGAGAGACAGTGCGGGCTGAGGCTTTTGACAGTGTCACCATCTACTTCAGTGACATCGTGGGCTTCACCGCCCTCTCAGCAGAGAGCACTCCCATGCAGGTGAGAGCAGGACTTGGGGGCTAGCACCTCTGTGGTGCTGGTTGAGGTCTCACACCCTGGCAGTGCCATCCCTGGGGTTGGGGGATGTCCTCTCCCAGATGTACACACACCCTTATTCCATCCAGGTTGTGATGCTGCTGAATGATCTCTACACTTGCTTTGATGCCATTATCGACAATTTTGATGTCTACAAGGTGAGTGGTGTGGTGAGCAAGCGCAGCCCCCCCAGAGTGAGGCAGGCAGCAAGGAGCCCAGGTGGTACCTGCCCCCCCTGCCCCCACAGGTGGAGACCATCGGCGATGCCTACATGGTGGTCTCGGGGCTGCCAGTGCGCAACGGGAAGCTGCATGCCCGTGAGATTGTCCGTATGGCCCTGGCCCTGCTCGAGGCTGTCAAAACCTTCAAGATCCGTCACCGTCCCAACGACCAGCTCCACCTGCGCATTGGCATACACACCGGTGAGCCCCCATGCTAGCCAGCTGGGGCGTACTTGCCCACCCATCTGCCTGCCCTGCAGCATCCCCAAGTGCCTCTGTGCCTGCAGGTCCCGTCTGTGCCGGAGTGGTGGGTCTGAAGATGCCGCGTTACTGCCTCTTCGGGGACACGGTGAACACTGCATCCCGCATGGAATCCAACGGCCAGGGTAAGCCAGGAAAGCTGAAGTCCAGAGCCACGGGGTGTGTCCTGTTCCCATGGCACCCAGCCATGTCTCTCTTGCTCCTCTGTGCTACTCAGCCCTGAAGATCCATGTCTCATCTGCCACCAAAGAAGTCCTGGATGAGTTTGGATGCTTTGAGCTGGAGCTGCGTGGTGATGTAGAAATGAAGGTGAGGGCACAGTGATGCCGCTGGGGTACTGCCCCTTCCAACCACAGGGGAATGCAGTGGGGAGGTGGGTTGGGGCTACGACCCCTTGTTGCTCGCAGTGCTGGGGATGACACCCAAGAAGCTGCTCCAGGTGCAAGCAGGGTCTAACTTACTCACCTCTGCCTCCAGGGCAAGGGAAAGATGCGGACATACTGGCTGCTGGGTGAGAGGAAAGACCCTTAAGTAATTTGAGCCCAGTGGCTGTGGCAGAGCCCCCAGCTCAATGGGGCCACCAGTGCTTTCTGGTACCCCTGGATGCACAGCACCCCGCATCACTGCATCCACCTGACTCTGCAGCCCCCCTGCTTCAGCAGGGCCTGGGCAAGGTGGGGCAGCGGCCACAGCACCGTCTGCTCCCCGCCATCAGCACCAGCAAAGCCCACCTTCCCCACAGCCTCTGCTGGAGTGGGGTAACAAGCCCTCATCCAGCCCAAGAGACCTTTTATTCCCCCCACCCTCTGAGGTCTGCCACCCCTGCCCTCTCTCCTGTGGCTCAGCTGGCTCTGAGCTTCTCTGGGGCCTGGCTGCCCCGCAGGGCACTTTGCCGTCTCTTTTCAGTACCTGGTCCCCAGCAGAAGTTGTGCCCATGTCAACCCATCCCTGGGGTGGGGGGAAATGGGGATTCCTGCCAAGACTGACTCCTTGGCCAGGTCAGGCTTCAATGCCGCAGCTCCCCCCCTCCCCAGTCTCCCCTTCCCCTGTATATAACCCCACCGGGTCATGTAAATACCCATCCCTCCTCCAGGTGTAAATATAGGACTCCCTGCAACTATTTTGTTGAAATACAAACTTCCCCAGATCCATCTGTCCTGTGGCCTCTACTTCGCTCTGCCCCAGCATGCCAAGATGGGAGGGAGGCCAGGGGAACACCAATATGGAACTCAGCTTGGGCTGGCGACAGCTGCCTGAAACATCCCAAAACATCGTATCCCGGGGGTCTGTCTGCAGTATAGGGCAGGAGTGTGGGCACGGGGAGCCAATGCTGGGCGATCGCAGCAGTGGCTGTTGAGGGCTTGGGTGGTGCTGGGAAGGCAGAGCTGCCATGGGTTTGCTTTGGCGTGAGGGCTGCAGTGCATTCCTCTGAGCTCATGCTCTGGCCGCTCCACTGCCGCCTCTTACTGGAACACACCTGTGTCTGGGGACTGGAACAACGCTGTGTGTCACCCCCTGCATACACCAGGAGGGGACGTGTCCCACGGGATGGGGCTGTGCCAGGGGCTCTGCTTCCATGCCTAAGGAGGAAATTTTGGGGCCACAATGTGGTTTGGGTCAACAGTGACTTGCAACAGGGATGAAGGGTTTCCCATTTTGCTTCATGCTCTCATGGGATTTGAAATCCCAGGGACACAGTGCTCCCCTTCAAACATCCAGCTTGAGGACAGCCTTGGGGTGGTCAAGAATGCTGAGACCACCTGTGCCTCCTTGTTTTTTATTGTCTGTGGGGCTGGAGCTGGCTGCTCAGGGGGTCATAGGGGTCATGGAGGTTGAAGGGCTTGGGATGCCCTAAGTACATGGTAATGGGAGTGGAAAAGTCTGCATTCCTCTTGAAAGGAATGTTTCTGCCGTAGAGGGCAGTGACACCCTGTAGAGGAGAGAATTGGAGAGGTCTGTGTCAGCAGCTGAGACTCCCAGGGCACTGGCCAGACAGGGTGTTGGGGGCCTTACCGGCAGTCTGCGGGCTTGCTCCAGCCAGAAGCTGGTTGGTTGCTCCGTTAAGTAGTTGTGAGGCTGCAAGGGAAGCAAAATGTGAGCCAGAGGGGATGGCATGCTCAGCAGGACACGCTGAGCCTTGCAGCCTCCCTGGAGGCTGCTGTAAGCTGGTGGGGGGGATGTCTACTGCCTGTACCTGGGTGATGGGCTGAGGGGTGGACTGGAAACCCATGGCACGGTAATCGTGGTGCGTGGTGGAGATAGATTCCATGCACCTCGGGGAGGGATGGATCTCTTCCTCCATCTCCTTACTGCATTGAGAGCAGATCCAGATCAGTTCTGGGATCCCTACCTCTCCGGGTCCCCTCCTCTGGGGCATCGCCCCAAGGATGGGTCTCATGCAGGAGTGCAGGCTTGCCTGTATTTCTCATAGAGCATGGATGCCAGTGTGGCCTTCCGCTGCCCTGCAAAGGGGAAGGTGCGATCAGCCTCCCAGCTAAGATTCCCATGCTGCCTTTTCGGGGTGCACATAGCTTGTTGGGGTCAGCCTCACCTTTCCCCAGTAGCACAGCCCTGAGAGGTGGGCAGTCCTTCGGAGGGGAGCTGTCAGTGAGCGAGGAGAGAAACTGGTGGATCGGCAGTCCATGGTAGCCACGCTGGAAGTCCTCACTGCCCAAATCCTTCCCTGGTCGAGAATCCAGAGGATTCACAGGTACCTAGGGATGGACAGTGGGGGCTGTGGAAGGGGGCAAGAACCAATGCTGCACTTCCCTATGCCTGCTCCTGGCTTTTAGGCTTTTGATAGCCCTAGAGGCATAAGGTGTAAAGAGGTGTTATGGTCTTTCTGGCTAGAAGCCTGGGAAAGCTGGAGCAGGGACACAATTTGGGCAGGGCTCATGTGTCCTGCCTGGTGGTCAGCCAGCCTTGTATGGCAGTCACAAGCACCTGGGGGCCCAGACTGTCCTGGGCAAGCACTCTTACAGCACTTGAACAACCATGGAGTCTCCAGGCTGTGGCTTAGTTTGGTCCATCAGGTGCCCCCCAGCTTGGCTTACCCAAGAAAGCATCCCCACATGACTGTGATGGGCCATGACACACAGCTCCTGCTTCCCAGCAGTGAGATCACGGCTCCCCTCCTGCCTGTCACTCCCCAGAGGCCTGCCTGTGCCTTTTGTGCTATTGAGTTTCATCCCTTTTCTATCCTGCTGGGCTCAAGGTCGTCCGGGTGGCTATTTAAAGAGATGGGCCTGCCCAGGAGCAGGGAACTTCACAAGATCAGCATGTGGGACACGATGGGGCCAACTTTGAGGGGCCTTTTCCCTTATGGAGTTACCTCCTTCTGCCAGTCACAGGTCACACGGCTCCGCTTGGGCACCGACTGGCTGGGCTTCTCTGCTGGTGTGGGGGGCAGCGCCAGCACTGTGGTGGAGGACTCCTCCTCGGGGCTAGTCCCCCACTTTCCAAGCCAGGGAGACAGCTTGATCCCGGAGGGATCCTGCCCAGTCTCTGGGGATGACACCCTGCTGGGCACGTCTGGTAGGGCCACAGTAGGCAGCTCATCTGTGTCTGCCATCTCCTGGGGCGGCTTGGCTATGTCTGACATCTCCTGGAGCCTCTTGGTGGTGGTTGTCAGCAAATCACCGCCGCAGGGGAGCCTCTCCACGGGCACTTCAGGCAGGGGTTCATCACCCTGGACCCCGAACGGTGGCCTCTCCCCGTGGCATCTAGGACCCACATGGCTTCTCAGAGCACCCCTGCAGGTGGGAGCAGACTCTGAGGAAAGGCAGCGGGGCGCATCGGCCATTGCCAACCACGTCCCTAGCCCCCCCCCCAGCACAGGCAGCGTCCCGACCCCGGGTCCTCTGCAGTGTCTCCTGTACTGTCCACAATGGGGCAAGGGACAAGAAATTCCTGTCCTTTTGGGGGACAGAAGCAGAAGCCATCTCGAGAGGTCTCCACCTGCGTAACTCCCTTCTGTTCCCTTGACCACCAGCAGAAACGCGCTTCCCACCCCCTGCCGGGGCTCAGCCCCCTGCCAGCCCCGGACCACCCCTTTCCCATTCCCCCTGTCCCCCGCCTCTCCCCACCGGGGTTACCCGGGGCAGTCTCGCTGCCCGCAGCGCGGGCCGCACCCCGCGGCGCAGCCGGCGCTGGGCTCCATCGCGCGTGCGCGCGGCGGGACGCGCCTCTCGCCATGGAGACGGCGCACGGCGGCCGCGCGCCCCAGGGTGGAGCCGCGCGCGTGCGCGCCTCCCATTGGCGGAGAGACCAGGAGGGGGCGTGGCTGTAGCGCGGACTGGACGGGGCGAAAGGATTAGTCAAACGGTAACGGGCGTGGTCTCGGCGGAGTGGGCGGGGCCGAGGCGCGGTCAGCGTGAGGGGGTGCAGAGAGGGGGGTCGGGCTTGGTGGGGCACGGGGTGCAGGGACACGGAGGGACGGGAGTGCGGAGGCGTGGGAATGTCGGGGGATGGGGACGCGAAGCTACAGGGACACAGAGGTGCCCGCGCTGCACTACAGGATCAAGGTTGTCCCCACTTTTGGGTCCAGGTACCTCGCGCCATCTTGTCCCGGTGCCGTGGGGCCAGCACTTAGAACAAAGATAGCCGTAGGGCTTCTCGGCGGTGCACCGTACCTGGGCAGGACCTGCGCAGCCCCACTGGGCCATTAGGAGGGACGTGCCCAGAGCTCCTGAGGACACACTCTTCCCTCACGGCTTGGCCCAAGTGACTCCCACACTGCTTGGTCCTGGCTTTGCAATACGCCCGCTTGCCCCAGGGACCCCCAGCTGCCGGAGGGTGATGGGGCGGAACGTGCCCGGCGCCGGCTTGGGGGCAGCCCGCGCCCGCCGGCATGGAGCAGCAGCCTCCTCTCACCACCAGCCCTCGATGGGCCCCTGGCCCCATCTCCGCAGAGGCCAAGCAGAAGAAGGGCCCTTTGATAGCAGGCGGCAGGCTCGGGAGCGAGGACTGTTATTCCAGCTCTTTGCGGTGGACGCCGACGGGGCACCATGCGCTCCATGCTGGGGCCTCTGTTTTTCCTGGCTGGGGACGTGCTTAGTCCTTCTGGCCTCGGCAGGCCGGGGGGGCCCCCACTGGGGACCGCTCCTCCCTGCGGGCCCTCGGTTCCATGCCAAGCAGGAGCTCCTCCAAGCCCATCTGCTGCACAGCTGCGGGGAGGAGGGAGAGATGGGAAACGTATTCTGAGCTCATCTCATGGGTCCCCATGCTGGCCACATCAGTCCTGCTGCCCCTGGAAAGGGGTTGGTGCCAGGATGCCCCCAGGGCTGGCAGCTGACTGTGAGGGTTCTGTCCCCATGCTCAGCCATTAGCCCTGTGTGGTCCCTGAGGTGCACCCCTACACCAGCTCATGCCAGAGGGATGGCAGCCTGGGGACCCTGTGTCAGCTTTCATCCCCTGGTGGTCTTCCTAGGAGCATCTGGGGATGCTCCACCAAGCACCCATGGGCTTAGCAAAAGCCTGGCTAGGCGGTATGGGTGCCTGAGGGACACCTACAGCACCAAAGTACACTGTGGGACAGGGAGCCTGCCGATGCCACCTTGTGTGCACCCACTGTGGGGCAAACCACCCTGTGGTGGTCTACGGAGCATCACTGTTGGGCTGTGCTCTGGAATCTCAGCTCGGGCAGCAGCCCTGGAGCTGCCGGAGCACATCTGGCTGCCTCTCACCGCCGGCTGACACATCCCTCGCAGCCTCCCCGCCCGGCTCTTTTGGGAACTTGCGTCATTTGTGATCCTCTCCGGCTGAGGAACAAAAACAGCCGTTGGCCTCCGTTCTCCCCCTCACCTCGACCCCATGGGGCTGTGCCCACTGTCCTGCCCTGCGGCTGCTCGGGGACTGACAAGCTTGGCACAGGAACACGATGGCAGGCGACTGGCTCTGACCTCGCGTGCCAGCCCGTGCCCTGTGCCCAGTACAGCACTCCCTGTGGGACTGCTGTGGGCGAGCCCTGGGGGATGGTGTCCTGGGGATTCCTGGCCCCTCTTTAGCATCCCCACCTTGCCAGAGACACCCAACTCTCTTTGGGGTACACATCCCAAAGTCAGGGCTGTCCTGAGTTCAAGAGTGGCCCCAGCCCGCAGTGAGCCTCAGAGGCAGGAAGCAGCAGTATCAACAATTTTAAGGCTCATTTACACGCCGAAAACATTCCCCATACTATACTGGGTGTGTATGTGTGGGAAGTGACTGGGCTCTGCCACAGCCCCACACAGCTCCCGGGGGCCTCCCGCCGCCAGCGCCACCGAGCCGGGGGATGAACAGAGCCGCCATTCTCCCCGGCGGACTGCGGTGCCCCGCGCGGCGGCTGGCGGGGGCCCAGGCGGTCCCGACGGCGGTGCCAGGTGGGCCGTGCACCGCGCCAGCACCGGCCCCTGCCGCTAAATATAGCCGCGGCAGCCGGCCGCGCAGCAGCGGGCGCGGGAGGCACGCGGCAGGGAGCGGGCGGCCGCATGCGCCCAGCCGCGCCTGCTCCCCTCACGGGCCGCGCGGACACGTGCGGGCTCGGGGCCGCGGTCAGCGCCTGTACACAGCGCCGGGCGAGCGCGGAGCCGCCGGGGCTTTGTGTGCACAGGGCTCTGGGGTGTGCAGTTCCCCGCGGTGGTTCACAGCCGTGGGGTCTGGCGAGAAGGGTATGATGTGTTTTCTCCAGCGCGCACTTGCAGGGGCGTCTGGGGGGAGCAATACAGTGAGTTTCCCTCAGAGGTAGCTGGGGTGTCTGGGGTGAGCAGTGCAGTTGAGTTTTGCATGGCAGTGCAAACACGAGCAGTACAGTGGCTGTAGTATGGGGAAATACGTGGGTTTGTGTACATGGAGGGGGCAGCAGGTCCACACACCATGCAGCCTGTCCTGCCCTGTACTCTACTGAGGTCTATGATTCTCCTGGGAGCTTCCAGAGAGGCCCATCTGGGATGGACAAGTACACGTGCAGTCACCATGCCTGCTCCGAGGGCATTTAGATCAGTCTAGTGCAATTAACTGGTTTTGAAAAGCAGGGAAACATCAGTGTCCAGTGCAGGGCTCTTGATGGCTGGAAGGGGGGAACCCTGAGGCAGAATAGGGGCATTCAGGGATGCTGGGACTGGGTGAGTAGTCCTGGACGTGGTACACTACTGACACCCTTAGGATGTTCCCCACCTTGGGGACAACCTTGTGGCAACCAGGCTGCTCCCCCAGCCCAGCACCAAGATGAGTCTTTTGCCTGTGAGCTGTGGGCAGCCCCAAAAAGCCCTTCTGCTTCAGCTGTGGGGTTGGTACATGAGAAGCCCAGACCCTCTGCAAAAAGGGGGTACCAACTCTACTGCTGTGACAATGGAGGCCAGCCATGCCCTGCCCAGGCCAGCCACCGCCACCCCCAAAAAAGCCACCCTGATGCAGAACCACTGAAGTCACCACCAAGGAGATGCTTTATTGGGGAGCAAGTGGGTAGTGGGCATTAGCCAGGGGGCCAGCCCATCTGCCGCCCCCCCAGCACATGGAGGTGCAGATGGTAGACGGACTGTGCGCCATGCTTCCCATCGTTGATCACTGTCAAGAGAAGTACAAAAGTCAGGCCACCCCCTTTGTCCCCAGCCCCCCAGGACCACCAGTGGGGGTCCTGCCCCACAGAACAGTAAGGGATATCAACTCACCAAGGCGGTAGCCATCAGCCAGCCCCTCTGCCTGTGCCATGCGTGCCGCCACCACTATCAAGTGCCCCAGCAACTGAAGGAAGGGGGAGCGGGAGGGTCAGCACTATATGACCCCCACCACCAATGACCCAGGGACCTCTCCGGACTCACCTCAGTGTCTTGGGGAACCACTTGGCTGATCCGGGGGATGGGGCGTTTGGGGATCACCAGGAAGTGCACAGGGGCTTGGGGGGCCACATCACGGAAGACGAGGCACTACCAGGGGGAGCAGGGTAAGCCCCACACCCGTGGGTTCTGCCCCCCTGCTCCAGTGGGGACACAGGTCCTGCTGTCCCAACTACCTTGTCATCCTCATAGAGAATGGTGGCAGGGATGGTGCGGTCGATGATCTTGCTGAAGATGGTGGGCTGCCCTCCTGCCTCCTTGCCAGCCGCTGCTGCCTGCTGCGCCTTGCCCACCTCCCCGTCCCGCCTGCCGGGTGCCGACACGCACCGCTGGGGCTGAGGGGCATACCTGGCTTACAGTCTGTGCCCGCGGGGACAAGGACAAGCACACCGCCGTGGGGGTGGGTGGGGGCAAGTGGGGGAACATGGGTGACAGGTGATGGAGGGGAGTACATGGGGGTGATGGTGGGATGCACGTGGAGGTGGTAGGGGATGACGGGGGAATGCACATGGGGGTGACATGGAGTGCACACTGGGATATGGGCAAGGGATGCATGTGGGGGTGATGCAGAGTACACGTGGGGGTGATCAAACTAATGCATGGGGTGATGGGGGATGTGATGGGGGATGCATGTGGAAAGTGGTGGGATTCATATAGAAGCCCTGGGGGTGCACACAGAGGTGATGATGTGGTGCACGTGGGGGTGACGCTTGGCCGTGACAGGGGATGCCACATGGGGCAACAGGGAGGTGCTCACGGGAGTTACTTTCATAGCGGTAAGAGGGGCCGATGCCCAGGGGGCTGGTAGCGTGCTGTGCTGACAAGGGGGGACAGTGGGCTGTGCTCCCAGGGGACAGGCGCCCACGGGCCTGACGGAGATCTGTGCCCTCGGGGGTGCGGCTGTGCCCACGGGGGCGCAGGCTGGGGTGGGGGTGGATACCCACGGGTGCTCCGAGGCCCCGTGCCGTGGCCTAGGGGTGCGCGGGCCGGCGCTCCT